TAGATGAAAGCACTCTCGCTCACTTGCTCACTCGCTCTTGCTCACTCACTATCCGGCCCTTTCCTCCATCAATCACAGCCAGCACTCCCCTGGTAAATAAACAAAACATATAACATTATAAGGAAGTGTTCTAAAATATCATAGCTAAGTTCCCTGAGGAAATGGTATAACCAGAAGAAACTTTCTACTTTGCTTTCCACGTCTAAGTAAAGGAGCCATCGGAAGCGGGAAAGGCAGAATAGAAAAGGTTAGCAGGAGAGATAGAGTGAAGATTAAATAAAGAGAATGTAATAACTAAGAGACCACAGATAATAGGAATAATTATGATGAGAATCTGGGTATGCAGGTAGCCTAATCAAAAATACCAAAAATAATTCTTTAAACAAAAATACACTTACAAGGTAGGCTTTATAAAGTAACCAATAGATCTCTTAAGAGTGTTTCTCTACTTCTTCTGTTCATCAAAAGAAACATCTTTTTGTTGTGTTGTTACAATGACGTTAGGAGATTGTGCCTTACCATTCACATTACCAAAGAACAAAAGTTCAATGCCGCTCTAATTACAATTCAGAACAGCTCTGCACCTTTTTGAAATATCAAATTGAGAATCGTTGTGGCTGGAATGGACCTTGCTAAAGAATGCTGAATTCTTTATTCTTCATTCAAATTAAGGTTTTAAAAGAGGTCATGCACAATGTAAGCACAGGAATTCTAATTGAAAACCATAAAGAACAAAATTGTTTTCTCTTCCAAATACACTTCACAAATCCTGCACATAAAGCGTGTGGTTCAAGGAGACATTTTCTAAGTCTACACAACTTAGTTAATTGGCAACAAAAACCTCTATTACGTGTTTGATTGAACTGATCTGGGCAAAACAGTAAATAGCATACACCTCAGGACCACATAAAATCAAAGCACTCCTTGTCTTAGAATACTGATTCATTCTTTATATTGGATGATACAGGCTGATTATTCATATAAATTCAGCAGGAGCCTTGAATACAAAGGAAGCACTGTATTTGGAGTCTGAGATTTCCTCTAAAAAGTCATGGTCTTTACTAACTCTTCTAATGAAAGTACACAACTCAGAATAAGAACAAAATCCACATGGCAAACCACACACAAAAAATCAGAAAAAAATAACTGTTGTTAAAGTCTAACCCTGACCCATCTACCTAATGCCCTTGAAGTCCTCAGTGGTCTTTGTACCTCTCAAAGCAAAACAATGGAATATTACAACATATCTCACATGTGAGAAAATGAGTAGGTGATCACACGAAATACACTCAAAAACAGTGTCAGATCTATGGTGATTATAAAAGGCTTCTGTTTCTCTATTCATATAGGGAAACTGTAAATGTAGCTTAACAGCACCAATAAGGTAAAATTTGATCATCTTTACAGTTTGTTTCTCCAAAGATAGTCCTCAGTGAAAACCACCTATTGGAAGTTGGGCCTTTCTATAAATCCCTTCCCTGCTAGCATAGCTCAGACCTGGTGATTGCTTCTAAATGGTCAAATACCAATCTAAGTGATGGGATGAACTACTTCTCATAAAAATTTTTCCTTCTATTTTGGTTCCCTTATTTACTTCATTCTTCAAACTAAAACAAACACTCTAACACCTTATAAAATTGGCTAGGAAGGGGGGTCCTCGTACCATGGAACTGATGTTTCTATGGTACAAGCTTGTGACTACAAGAGACATGTCGATAGTCCTAGAGGTCAATCTAAAATCTTCCTCTAACACCCCAGTTTACAGCTTATTTCCTCCTATGTGACCCAAAGTCAGAGACAAACAGCTGACAACAGATGCCAGACCTGCCAGAACACACAAAATAAGCGTGTTGTTCTAGGCTGCCAGATATTAGAGTTACTGTCACATCACAACAAAGACTAATAAACCATGCAACCCTAATGAAATATTTGTACTTGGCATAAGCAAACTATGTTTAAGTTATTGGATTCTAGGCACTTTTTAAGTACAAAAACTAATTCTTTAAATCCTACAACAACTTTATGAGGTAGATTCTTAATTGTTTTGTGGAGGAAGAAACAGACATCAGGATGATGAAACAATTTTATCAATATCTAGCATTAGAAAGCATTAAAACTAGAGTTCAAGCTTCTAACTATGATGTCACCCTGCTTCTTAGAGTGGTTAATTTCACTATTATTTAGGAATGTATCCCCAGATAGAAGACTAACAACTGAAATATTCTGATCAAATTATTGGCTAGTTTATGAGATTCTTGAATCAAAGGAAGAAAATGTAAACCTCTTCTGTGACAGTATCTACCATATGTCACAGGCTCAGGAAATATTTGTTTAAAACAATACTGAGAATCAGCATTCAGAGCACCAGTCTAATTAAAAACACCAAACAAAACAACAATACCGACTTACAGCATAGGACATTGGCAGAATTATGGATAATTCACTCTACACAAAATGAAATATCCTAAAGATCATTCTGACAATCTCACATTTAGTCTACAAAACGACCTACGTGTGGATCTTTTCAGACCTTAGGACTTGGGATGCAAGGGCACTCCATTTTATTAAAAAGACAGAGGGGACCAAGTATCATGAGCCCAAGGCATAAAAGTTTATTGTCAGCTTTTCTTACATCCAGGTCTCTAAATAACCTTCAAGAACACACAAACCTGGGAATATTTTGGCTACCAGGACACTTGGTCTTCTGGTTAGAGAGATACAGTTTACAGAGTACAGCAGCTGAAATGAGCAAGGCAGTATTCCTAAAGCACTTCCTAGTTTTCATGAACTTGCATTATTTTTCTAGGTCATGCATTACACTTGTTTGCCAAGGATAAAAGCAAGCACACAGGGGAGTGGGCAGGGAAACACTGTGGTAGAGCCTGCCATCTAAGCAGCATTCTGAGGGGGCCATTTGTGCACATGCCTTTGGGCACTTGACTCCAGGCCTTCCCAAAGACTGAGGACACTCCCAAGGTTCATAGCCCATATTAGGTCACAGCATGCACTCCTCCAAGCCCCTTACAGCCACATTTATATGTGTAAATTTTCTAGACTTTTTTCCTTTCATTTTGTATTAAGGATGCAGGAAAAAAATTAATAGCTAGTTTGAAAAAAAAAGCAATCATTGGTTACTGGAAGTAATTTGGGAATACTGGTAGCCCATCTAAAAGTTTTAATAGCATATTATTGCTGCTAACAGTCACACAAAGCCTTCTGCATTCTCTTTTTAAAGTTAAATAAACTGGTCTGGTTACATTTAAAACAAAATCACTGTCAAGTAGAGCGAGAGTCGCACTGGATCAACAAACACCTGTGGTTCATAGCGGAGATAATTATCCTTGTGAGCAAATGTCCCTTTTGAAAAAATTAATACACATAAGTTTGACTATGATAGGAAAAAGAAAGCTTCCACAGTAAAAAGATCAGGAAGAAAACAGTGAAGCAATAAACAAGAAGTTTGTGAGTTTAAAACAGTTCAAGTGGGCCCGGAAGCATAGCCTAGTGGCAAAAGTCCTAGCCTTGAATGCACCAGGATCACATATGGACGCCGGTTCTAATCCCTGCAGCTCCACTCCCCATCCAGCTCCCTGCTTGTGGCCTGGGAGGATACCCAGAAGTTCCTGGATCCTGGCTCGGATCGGCATAGCATGGACCATTGCGCTCACTTGGGGAGTGAATCTTCGGACGGAAGATCTTCCTCTCTGTCTCTTCTCCTCTCTGTATATCTTGACTTTCCAATAAATAAATAAATAAATAAATAAATAAATAATCTTAAAAAAAAAAGCAGCTCAAGCAAAAAGATGTTCTATGGTTCTGATCCTGAGACCAGGTTAATTGGTCTACTTGAACCTGCAAAATAATTTGGCTCACAGAATTAAAGGAATTCATGCACAATAGCCCCCGTGAAAAGCTGCCTTCCTTTTCAGAGAGAGCCATCCCACAAAACAGCAGGAACAAAGAAGAACCAATAAGGGAATGAGATTGGATCATAGCAGTCCATTCTATCTGATAATATATCTTTATGTTCAGGCATTTGAATTTCAAGCCTTCCTTCCCAGGGAAACCTTAAAAGCAAGTATCAGAAATAGCTCCCAAACCTACTAGGATTCATAAGTCAGTGCTTATTTTCTGTACAGTAATGAAACATTGCAGAAAAACATACAAATAAGTTGTGTATTAATCCCCAAATTGCCAATATATTTTGTGACTGCTCAGAAACATAGCATTTATTTTTATTACTGAGAGCTTCCAGAGTGAAATAGAACCTTCATAATGCATATCTTTACTTTGAATATTTATTGTTGTATTTTTGCATATACTTAAGAATTTTATCATCTGATTTTTAAAACACCACATAGGGATCATATACATGCATTGTTTGATACTAATAATTTTATGAAACAAAATTATAGATACAAAAGGGAGAATACTAAGCTTAAAAATGGAAAACAATTTATAGCCAAAGAAAAAGAAAGGCAAGCAGGGAGGTCAGCTTTTGGAAGAACTTCCATGCCTCAAAATACTAAAACCGGTTGCAAATAGTTTGATTTCTGTCAAGAAAACATTTTCCCCACTAGATGAACCCTATAAATAACTAGTACTATAAAATAATTTGATAGCTTACAAAGTACTTTTACATTTCTTTTAATACTCACATTCTTGAATAACCATGTCACAAATTAAATCATGAACAAAGGAGGGGGAGAATTTGGTGAAAGGACATGAAATTTCAGATAGAAGTAAATTTAAGAAGCATAAAACATGGTGAATATACTTAATATGCTGTTTCTTAAAATCACACTAACAGAATCAATGCAAAGTGTGCTCAACAAAAAAGGATAATTATGTGAGTTAACACGTTAGCTGTATTGATCATCCTATAACGTGCATTCAATGTACCTCAAAACTATAAGGGGGCAGGCATTTAGTGTTGCAGTTAAGACATTAGTTGTGACACCTGTCTTACACGAGTACCTGGGTTCAGGTATAGGCCCTACCTTCCGATTCCAGCTTTCTTCTAGTTCAGACCTTAAGTCACAGCAGCAGTGGCTCAAGTAATATGCCTGCCACTCTGTGGGAAACCCGGAGTGAAGTGCCAGCTCCCAACTTCCAGTTTTAGCCCTACAGCTGCTGCAGGCATGAGGAGAGTGAACCACTGTATAGCAGCTCTCTCTCTCTCTGTGCTGCCAAGATAAAGAAAAAAAAAAACACAACAGTATTTGTACATATGTTGTACACAGTAAATATGTACACAGTAATTTTATCTGTCAGTTTAAAGAGATTGCAAAAAAGTCCAAGTGACATACAGCATTTTTCAATTCCTAATGTTGTTTCTATTTCTTAATCTATAAGGCCTATTTTTTTTTTATTACTAAGGACTATTGCATGCTCAGGGAGGTATAAAACTAAAGCAGTGAGTCACTCATACCATGTCCTTTCCTTAAAATGGACAATACCAGTGACATAACTGGAGTAAAACTGCCAAATAAACCAATAAGCAAGATGGAAAAATTGTGTAATTATACTGACAACATATGTAACAAGTACCCATCTAGATGCCAGAAAAACATTTTTAAAAATTAAAATAGGAAAATATCAGTAAAGAAAGAAACCACATTCTGAAATAAATGCCTTTGTCACTATTCCAATTTCCAAATAGAAGTTCATTTTGTAACTTAGTTTTAAATAAGATGAGCACAAATTTGATAATTTGGAAATTTACTATGAAAACCATATCTGAAATATTCTATTAAAGTATCCTATACAATAGAAGCCAGATTATAAAGAAAATGCAGGATGTTCTTTATCTCTTTCACCAACACGAAACCTGTGGGAGTTGCAGCTTTGATTTTGCCATGCATAAACAGAGCATGCATATAAATTACTATGCTTTTAAGCAAGATCTTAGCAACTGTGTCCATTTTAAACAGAATTCCAAAATATCAGAATGCTAAATTGTGAAGGAATTTTTGGAAATCATAGCAAATACATTCAGAAGATACAGCAATAACTCGGGGCTATTGAAAAAAAAAAGGCAAATTATACAAGTCACTTCAGTCTTGACCTAAATTCCATGGTAGCTCTGATACTGACTCTGTACTCTGTATGGGGAAAAAAAAACATATTCCAAAACTGCTTGAAAAAGCTATCGGGCATAGTGATTTATAATAGTAGTTTTGAGCAAATGAAAATCCAACATTTTTACAGTTGAACAAAATTGGTCTTGGACAATAGGGAACCTAAAACTCATTTGGATTCACGCAGTGTTTCAAAAAACACATCTCCAGGACCTTTTACAATCAATCCAATACCTAACTGGTAGCCAGAGCCTGAATCTGAGTAGAAGCATAAGTTGACCAGACTCTGCATGCTTAAAGTCTCAGGGGTTGCACACTTGTACAAGCTATCTTTTCCTTTTCCAGTGGGATATCTGAAGGAGATCCGTTGGCAATTACAATAATCCAAGACACATTTCACAAAAGCATGAAGTTTCACTATCTGTGACATTACATCCTAACTCATTCTATTACTGAAGTGATTGTATACGTTTCCCCCAACAGACCAAATGTAATTCAGGAAGCACAGCCATCAATTAACATTTACACCTTGTGCACAGATAAGACAATAGCTATCATTTTAGTTTTCTAATGGGGGCTGAGGAGGGATGAAAATCATAAGGCATAGAGCTTTAGGGATTTAAGCATGCATTTTTTTTTCATATTACCAAAAATATATTTCAGGATGTGTGAGGCCACCAAAACCAGACCTCCAATATCGTAGGATATTGAAGCAGATGCTCTTCCAAGCTAACAGTGAAAAATGCTCTCTAATAGCTAGGTCAACTTCACAATACTATTCTTACTCTTTTCTTGGCCCATACTATCTATTTATTCCTGAAATAGGCACAGAGAGCACCACATCATTGTAAAAGTGATACAGCATAAAGAATATCTAACTTTTGTCCCTTTACCAGAGAGAGTTGCAACAGAAGCTAATAGGAACAAAACTGGATAAGGGGCAACCCGGTCTGATAAAAGACAGAATGATCCTCCCTAGGCAGCTTAATATTGTACAGAGGCTTCTAAGTCCTCACATGGCACAGAAGGATATCAAAGTTCCTAGGCTGGATTCAGGAAATCCAGTTAACATTGCCTTTTAGCCCGAACACATGGTTAGAATACAATAGATGGTTTTCATTTCCTATTATAAAGTCACACACTATTTTGGGATTTGACCCAACTATTCAGAAATTTTGTACTTTTCCAATAAAGATAAACAGGGACTTTTTCTATTATCAACACAGGTTTACACTTCCAAAATTGATTAAACATTTCATTCCTTATACTAGGCTAAATAAGATTTCTCTTATGTTTTCCTATCTTTCTCAGGAACGCTTTCTTTTTTGCTCATCATGTCACAACAGAAAAGTTAGTGTTTTAAGAGGTTGTAAGCAATCACAGTGACTACACCTTAAACCCTGGAGAGTTCTACGTTCAAAAATATTTTATAATAGTTGCAGAAAAATGAGTATGATGTAATATCAATGTACAAATGCCTTTGACCCAGTGCTCTCCCTCTTTCATATTTCTCTTCTGAAATTGCTCAATTGAAACAGTAGAAATGCGTAAGTCATAAATAAGCATTTAAGCAATAACAACGTGCAAATGCTAACAAACTCTAAAAATTTATTAAAAGCTGCAGTGCCTTTCTATTTTTTTTTTCTATATTGCACAAATGAAGGCTTGAGCTCTCATTTGCTTTGGCAACGAGAATATAAAGGTAATAAAACATTTAGGCTAACTTTGAGTGTCTTCACTTGCAAAATTATTGGGCAGATCTGAAAAGACCATTCAAGTTCATTGCTGTTTCAAGCACTGACATTTAATACAAAGGTATGTTGTGTCTTAAACCAAACATACCAAGAAATTCATTGCAAAATTTCATGTTCACTACAACATTAACCTACTATGTGAATGTTATTTAAATCCATCTTTCAATAACGGTTTTAATTTAGGGACTTCAGAGCATACAGTCTAAATGACACATAAGTTATACATCACTTCTGAAGATACTTTATATATTTCTTAGCAAATACTGCTTATTAAATTTTGCATATTCTTTTCAGGGAAATATTCTGACTGTAAAATCTCTTGCAAGTTTATAATAAGCATTTTAAAGTACAATCTGATATTCAAAATTAGTTGAACAGCTACAGGGCTGCTAAGGAATTTCACTTTTCTAATAAGTGACCTTCTCTAATTACCAGTATTTTTGTTGGTGCCTCATCATAATAAAATCAGGATAAGGAGGCAAGGATAAGAAATGTCTTATTTTTGCTTCAATTTTTGCATACATTTTTGGTGTCCAACATTGTCAGAAAAATTCTACTCTTTTCCAAAGATGCATTTAAAGTTTCTGGGTTTTTTTGTGTGTGTGTGTGCAAGTATTGTTTTCATTTTACATACAGCTCTTTCTATCCATAGAGAAGAAATTAAATTTTATAGTAAGACATAAGGTTATAAAAAAGATATTTGCTAGTTTTGAATCAATATTTTTTATTTATATAATTCACATAGCTCATTTTACATCAGTAAAATCCTTACACTTTGACATTGCTTATTCTTAAAACTGATTTTTGAATTTTCTTAAGTGGTTTCATTTTCCAGCAAGAAATTCTTAATGTTCTTCAAATTTATTCACCTTCCCAATCTTTTCAGATTTTCAAAGGCTGGGTTACCTTTATATAGACTATCCTATAGCGAGTGCTAATCTCAATCCACAAATACTATGAGAATAGTCAATGACAACTCTTGGATTCTAATAAAATTCTAAAAAAAATTTTCCAATCCTGTGTTGCCTGTATTGCTTCAATTGTCTAAACAGTGAAATTAATAATGACTTCCAATTTAATGTACATTTTACCTAACTGTCCTAGAGGCTTTGGAAAGTATTCCCTATATAAGATATGGTTGTAAAAGATGAAGATTCTATAAACTCTTTCTGGAAAGGATTGATGGTAAATATTTCAGGCTCATCAGGACACACAGTCTCTGTCACAACTATTCAGCTCCACACTGTTTTGCACAGAATTAGCCACAGATCATATGAAAATGCACTAGCTTCGCTGCATTCCAATAAAATTTAAAACATTGTTTTCATTTCATCTATTTTTTGCATGTCACAAAATAAGACTTCCTCTTTATTTTCATCCAGCCACTTGGAAATGCAAAACCCCTCTTAGAAGCTGGCCCACCTAATAACAGTTGAGTCCAAAAGCTCTACTTTGTTAACATAAAAATAATCAGTATTTTATAACAAGTAAAGAAGAAAAGACATGTAGACCAAACAATAGACAACACCACTGTAAGAAAATAGCATAAAAATTTTAGTATTCAGGAAAAACAAAATTTATAAATAATTAAGTGGCTAAGTCTAATGACAAATTTCAATGGAATATTTCTATTAAAGTAAAACATTATAGAGTTGTGTTAAAATAACTAATAGTTACAGTAACCATAGTCTCACAAATTACAATCACCAAAAGTTTCAAGTTTATTGTTAATTAGGAAGAAGACACAATCTGAATAAACAAAGCAGGAACAACAAAAACAACTGAAAAGAATGCCACGTAAGAGCAGACAGAATAGGAAGTGCTAATAAACACACATCAGGAAATAACTCCCGAGTCTACACTCTCAAACAAGAAAAGAGAATCAGAATAGTATCAGGATAACAAACAGGTAAAATCAGTAGAAAAATATTTAAGCAAAGATTAATGACCCCTCTTAGTGCTCATAAACAATAACATTGTACCCATTTCCCTGCACCAAAACACTGCCCATACTTTGTTGAAAAAGTGTATTAATACAGAGATCAATTCAAACAACCCAAGATGGGTTGGTATCACCATGTTGCATATTAAGGTGCCCCTTGGGATATTTGTATAATCTATCGGAGCATCGGTTTGACTACCAGTTGCCCTGCTTCTGGTGCAGCTTCCAGCTAATACATCTCAGGAGCCTGTGGTAATGGCCAGGACTTGGGCCCTGCTACTGACATGGAAGACCAAGCTGTAATTCCTGCCTCCTAGCTATTGAAGGCATTTTGAGAAGCAGAGGATAAAAGATGCATTTTCTTCTCTCTTACTCAGTCTCTGTCCTTATCTCTCCCTGTTTAAGTAGCACAAAGTAAGATGGATGTCTAGTACTGTCAAAAGAAACCATGCTCAG